GATGGTGACGAATGGAAGACAGCCTTCAAAACTCCTTTGGGCCAGTTCGAGTATTTGGTTATGCCCTTTGGTCTCACTAACGCTCCAGCATGTTTCCAAGCCCTGGTCAATGATGTTCTCAGAGACTTTTTAAATGTCTTCGTGTTTGTATACATTGATGACATTCTAATCTATTCTAAGAATCTTTCTGAGCACAAGAAACATGTCCGCCTGGTCCTGCAAAGACTACTGGAGAACAAACTTTTTGTAAAAGCCGAAAAATGCGAGTTTCATCAACCTTCAGTCACCTTTTTAGGGTTTGTGCTCGAGGGCTGGCAGGTTAAGCCATCTGAAGAAAAAATAAAAGCAGTTTTGGATTGGCCGGTACCTGAAAACCGTAAACAGCTGCAGAGATTCCTGGGTTTCGCCAACTTCTACCGTCGATTTATCAGGAACTACAGTCAGACAGCTCTACCTCTAACAAATCTAACTTCAGTCAAAAAGACTTTTCTGTGGACCCCCGAAGCACAAAACGCTTTTGATAAACTAAAGACTTTGTTTTCCAGAGCCCCTGTATTAATCCAGCCCGATCCAACCAAGCAATTCATCCTCGAAGTGGACGCCTCTGACTCTGGTGTAGGAGCAGTGTTATCCCAAAGACTCGACTCTGATCAAAGAGTTCACCCTTGTGCATTTTTCTCTCGTAGACTTCACCAGCAGAACAAAACTACGACGTTGGGGACCGTGAACTTCTGGCCATCAAACTGGCATTGGAGGAGTGGAGACACTGGCTTGAGGGAGCTGAACACCCGGTTTTAGTATGGACTGATCACAAGAACCTAGCCTACATCCAGTCCGCCAAACAAGCAAACCCTCGTCAGTCAAGGTGGTCTCTTTTCTTCTCTCGATTCAACCTCATAATCTCTTACAGAACCGGATCCAAGAACATCAAACCCGATTCTCTCTCTCGTCTTTATTCCGTTGATCAATCCGAGACGCCTAAACCCGTTCTCCCTGCTTCCTGCACTGTTGGAGTGGTTACCTGGGAGATCTCCGATCTCATTAACTCTGCTCTGGCTTCAGAACCTGACCCAGGTAACGGTCCTCCAAACAGAACCTATGTCCCTTCCTCTTTCAGATCTCGCCTGAATCAATGGATGCATACAGCTAAGTTTTCCGCTCATCCGGGGGTGAGCAGAACCATCGCCCTAATTTCTAGACATTTCTGGTGGTCTACCCTGCACAAAGATGTGAAAGAGTATGTTTTGGCTTGCTCTATCTGCGCCAGAAACAAAACCTCACATCAACCACCCTCAGGTCTGTTGCATCCTCTTCTCGTACCAACTCGTCCCTGGTCTCACATCGCCATCGACTTCGTCACTGGTCTCCCAATCTCCCGAGGTATGTCTACAATTTTCACCATCGTTGACCGATTTTCAAAGTCTTGCCATTTGATCCCTCTCAGGAAACTTCCCACGGCCTTCCAAACCGCCCAGCTCCTTGTGAAACACGTTTTTCGACTCCATGGAATTCCCCAGGAAATTCTTTCTGACCGCGGACCTCAGTTTATCTCCCAAGTCTGGAAGGCCTTCTGCTCAGCTCTCAACTGTAAGTCATCTCTCACTTCTGGCTATCATCCACAGTCCAACGGTCAAACCGAAAGAATGAACCAGCAGCTCGAGTCTACTCTCCGTTGTCTGACTTCCAACAACCCCACCGACTGGAGCCAATACCTCACATGGATTGAATATGCCCACAACTCTCTCAAGTCTGCTTCCACCAGCAAGTCACCTTTTCAGGTTAGTCTCGGATATCAACCTCCTCTTTTTCCAGCAGACGAGAGAGAGATTTCGGTTCAGTCCGTCAACCATCACATCCGTCGCTGTCAGCGAGTCTGGAGAGACACCATCGCTTCACTCAACCGTTCTTCTGAGACCACCAAACGCTTCGCTGACTCTAGGAGACGTCCTGCCCCAGAGTACGTCGTTGGTCAGGAGGTATGGCTCTCCACTCGGGACATTCCCCTCAAGGGGATGTCTCGCAAATTATCTCCTAGATTCATTGGTCCGTACAAGATTGCCCAGGTGATTAACCCTTCAGCCATACGCCTGCACCTTCCTTAGAGTCTTCGCATCCACCCCACGTTCCACGTCTCCCAGGTCAAACCGGTTGTCTCTAGCCCTTTGTGCCCTCCATCCGACTCCCCTCCACCCGCCCTGGAAGTCGATGGACATCCTGCCTTCACCGTCCGCCGGATCGTGGACTCCCGTCGGCGAGGTCGCGGATGGCAGTACCTCGTCGATTGGGAGGGCTACGGTCCGGAGGATCGCCAATGGGTTCCTGGCTCCTACATCCTCGATCCATCTCTTACAGAGGATTATGAGCGCTCCCGCCCGTCGACATCCTCTGGACCGCCAAGAGGCGGTCGTTGAGAGGGGGGTACTGTTGGGATCTGGAGCTGTTCCACCTTTCTCCAGCAGAGTGCGCCGTGGATCCTCCTGAACTGAGCCTCCAACACACCTGAGGCGCATCTCGTCATCAGAGGATCCTCTAATATTTAACCTGCCTTCAGACCTTGCCTCAACGCCGCAGTGTTGATCCAGTTTGGTTAGCACCTGAGCCTAGCAAACACCTGAGATCTTAGTTATCTCTGTTGAGATCAGATTCTAATTCCTCCTTGTCTCTGTTTCACAGGAATCCTGTTTCCCTTGGAAGCTCTGGATGAGCTTAACCTGCCAAGCCTGCCCTCTGAGCCAAACCTGAAGACTCTTCTCTGGATTCCCCTGCAGCTCTTGGCTAAGAGCTGGAAACCAAAATCAAGGTCTGCCCTCAAGTCAGAAGTAAGACGCTGAAGTGGTTATTGGACTCTGCTGAACTAAACAGTCTCTGGACCCAACAGTTCCTCTCTCAAAGTATAACCCGGACTCCTCAAGGTATTCTTCAGAAACTCTCAAACTCAAACTCTTCAGTCCCAGAGCTAACTGAACTGTCATCCTTACAGACTCCAGTGAACCTGCCCCCCGGCCTGAACCAGTTCCAGTGTTATTTTCCATGTGCTTGTGCTTTAATAAACTGTCAAACTTTTCATCAGACTCCGTTGTGTTCTGCATATTGGGCTTTTCTGAACCCATCATGACAAGTTCAGCTGTGTTTCCTATCTCCAGTTTCCTGCCTCAGACTTCCTAGCAACTGTTTCCACAGACTTGTTTTTTTTTTTTATAAATGTTTTCAGAGTAATCCCACTGTCTGTCTAGCCGGAATTCTGGGTTCTGGGTCGTTACAGACAGAGTTGGAGGAAAAGCTGCTATTTCTTCACATTCAATGCCATATGTCCGCACAAGGTCTAAAGCAGTGTTTTTCAATCCTGGTCCTCAAGGTACACTGCCCTGCATATTTTAGATGTTTCCCAGCTTTCACACACCTGTTATCAATTGATAGCAGATTATCAGGCTTTGCTGAACTGAAATCATCTGAATCAGGTGTGCTGAACCTCGGAAATATCCGAAACATGCAGAGCAGGGTGCCTTGAGGACCAGGGTTGAAAAACACTGGTCTAAAGTATGAAGATGAGAATGTGTGGGACTATTCACATTCTCAAAAAAGCCAATAATGTCCAAGATAGCATCAAAGGATGCCTTCAAGGTGTCCCTTTTAATATCAGCATGGAGGAAGAAATCCCCCTCTATAATGACCCTGTCATTTTTAACACTGAATCAGATAAGAACTCTGAAAACTCATCTAAAATTTCAGAGTAAGGACCTGGTGGATGATACAAAGTTACAGAACAAAGAGTTTTGGATGTTTTGAATCAATCAGGGAACTGGGGGTTGATAATCAAAAGAGTTGTAATTATTAACAAACTTTGGACTAATCAGTAAGTCAGACTGAACGATAGTTGCTACTCCTTCTCCTCGGCCAGAATTTCTGGGTATGTGAAAATGTAAATAATTAGAGGCAATTGCCTCATTTATGCTGACATAATTCTTTTGCTGCAGCCAAGTTTCTGTCAGGCAACATAAATCAATGTGATTATCACAAATTAAGTACTCGTACTCGTACTCGTCCTCTCCCGCTTTATCCGGAACCGGGTCGCGGGGGCAGCAGACTAAGCAGAGACTCCCAGACTTCCCTCTCCGCAGACACCTCCTCCAGCTCTGTTGGGGGAAGCCCTAGGCGCTCCCAGGCCAGCCGAGAGACATAGTCTCTCCAGCGTGTCCTGGGTCGTCCCCTGGGCCTCCTCCCTGAGGGAGGCGTTCAGGGGGCATCCGAAGAAGATGTCCGAGCCACCTCAACTGACTCCTCTCGATGTGGAGGAGAACCGGCTCTACTCTGAGCCTCTCCCGAATGACCGAGCTCCTCACCCTATCTCTAAGGGAGAGCCCAGCCACCCTGCGGAGAAAGCTCATTTCAGCCGCTTGTATCCGGGATCTTGTTCTTTCGGTCATGATCCAAATTTCATGACCATAGGTGAGGGTAGGAACGTAGACCGACCGGTAAATTGAGAGCTTTGCCTTTTCGCTCAGCTCCCTCTTCACCACAACAGACCGGTGCAGCGTCCGCATTATTGCAGCAGCCGCACCGATCCGTCTATCGATCTTCCGCTCCATTCTTCCCTCACTCGTAAACAGGACCCCAAGATACTTGAACTCCTCCACTTGAGGCAGGGACTCTCCTCCAACCTGAAGGTTGACTCCTGCTCCGCTTGTACAGAGAACGGAACTACAAAAACATTTTATATATTTTTAGTGCTAAGCCTATATGATTCTTCACAAGGCAATATGCTTGCCTATAGATGGAAAGATAAAATAGATAAAGAGCAACCTAAACAGCAGGCCAGAGATAACAACCCTGTTACTCGAGCCTGTCGACAGGCGTGACCTAAACAGATACAACTTAAAACCTAAACAAATCATAAGCCGAGTTTAAAAAGTATCCGTTGCTCTTAGCCAATCAGAAGCACCCCTGAATCTTCTATAAGAGCTCAGTGAAGCTGTGAACTCAGAATATAGACCGCCTAACTAAAGAAATGGAGCCACTTTTTACTTTTCTCTTGCTTCTTTTCAAACTCTGTGAGTATTAATCAAATATTTATTTGTGTTTCTTTATGTGCTGCGATTATTCTAAATGGAAATAAAGTACATTTACAAGGGAAAATAAAAAAAACATTTAATGATTTCTTCACAGGCGAGCTTTTTAATTTCATCAAAACCTATGATATCATTCAGGAGACTGGGATTAGGGCAGCTAATGCTGGAGAGACTGTGACTTTACCCTGTTCCTGTCAGCATAATGCTATAACATATTTTTTTTGGTACCAGCAAAAACTGGGACATAAACCTCATCTGATATCTAACCGCATGAAGCACAGCAAAGAATCCATCATCTCCCCAGCATATAAAGATAGATTTCAAGTTCTTTCAGAGCCCGAAGAAGGACTCAACAATCTGATGATCATAGATCTTAAGCCGTCGGATTCGGGGACATATTACTGTGTGATTTTAGCATTCAACACCATTGAATTTGGACAAGGACTCTTTCTCCATATCAAAACAGCTTCATCAAACACCCAGTTGCCTATTCAACAGTCTGCATTGAGTCCCCTACAACTCGGAGACTCACTAAATCTGAGCTGTAGCGTGTCTGCTGAGCCATGCAAAGGAGAACAGAGCCTCTACTGGTTGAGACATACTGCCTCCCAACCCTCACTCATGTATCCCAGTGCAAAAAACTGTATAGGTCTTAAAAACGGACCCCTTCATTGCACTTCCAACCTTGAGTTAAATTCTGTGATGTCCTCGGATGCTGGGACCTACTACTGTGCTCTGACCTCATGTGGGATGGTTGTATTTGGAGAAGGAACAAATGTGGAGATTTTAGGTATGTAATCTTTGCAGGTTTCCAACCAGTTCAACACAATTAAATTGAATATTTCTTAGTCTAGGTTAATATAATATAACTATACATGTGAAGTTTTATTTTGCCTTCTTAATATGTTGACCTTCACTACAGCGTCTTCTTTCCTGGTGTATGTCCTGGGTGTGGCTGTTGTCATTTCCATCATTGGGCTCCTTTTTTTGTCTTTCCTGAGGAACAAACTTAAATCCAAGCTATGCATGTCATGCGCAGGTAAGGTTTAGAGAATTAATCTGCATAATTTATCTCGATTCTACATTTTGAACTGTTTATTTACACATTGTGGGTTTTAGGGACGAGTAAACCACAGTGCTCTGAAGCCCTTGAGATTACTGTAAGTAAAGCAACATCTTTATCAAAAAAGAATTATGATATGCTCTCTTCCAGTGGGTTTGCCAGTAAATTATACTTTTTTTGTGAATATCAGGAAAATCAGACAGAAAATCTGCATTATGCTGCTCTGAATATAAAGAGGAAAGCTGAAGGACAGCAGCAAGAGGACGACCCTGTCAGCACTTGTGTGTATTCAACAGTGAAGAGCAGAAAAGAATAAAGCACCTCCTTCATGGCTGACCCTAAAGGAAGAAACACAGCCATCCAAATCAATAAAATCAAAATGTAAAGAATGGAATTACATTATTTTTGTGTGCAGCTTTTTGCATTGGATGCGTTCTTAAAATATCCAATGGCTACTAAACTCATATGTAAATACAAAGAGCTAAAAAAAAAAAAAATCCCCCGTCTATTAATATCTCTAACAGCACCAGGTGTGAAATACTGTCAGTTGTGACGTCAATGTTTTTGCCTCCTCTTCTGTGGTGATGGTGGCCTAAATTGCACTGTAGAAGTTTCCACCAATGGAAACAAAAGGTTCTTCACAGTTAAAACACAGGAAGGTTGGCCCACACTTTGTTATACCAGATGCTAGCTTAGCAATTCAGCCTGCTGGTCCTCCAGAAGACTGTACAACCCAAGAAATATCACAAGAATGTAAATTGACAATCATTATACGGACAATAGGTAAAGATAAACAAATGTCCTGGACCTTTAAAATAGTTATCTTGCTATATTAAAAGAGTAAAGCACAAAAAGATTACTGGGAGACTGAGGTGTACACCTACTCAAAAATGTATAAGCAAATAAAGTCTTCCAACCTTGAATCAAATGTGTCTAAACAATAAATGACAGCCCAATGTATCAATTAGTTATTCTCACATCTGTAAATACAACACACACACCTGATTACTGCAACAATCTCTGTATAGGTTTGCCTAAAAAGTCCATCAGGAAGCTGCAGTTGATCCAAAACCCTGCTGCCTGTGTTTTCACTAGAACTAAGAAAATAGAGCTCATCAGCCAGTTCTGCAGTCCTTACACTTGCTCCCTGCAGCTCAGAGAATAGATTTTTAAAATCTTGTTAGTGTTTAAATCCCCGAATGGATCAGCATTTTGGTCTTCCAGTTCAAATCTAGTCTGTTCACCCTTGAACTAGAACTTGAACTAGAACCAAACATGGGGAAGCAGCATTTAGGTCCTATGCTCTACTTATCCATCCTATATAATTCATGAAAAGCACTTGGTGCTACATAAATGAACTTGCCCTGCCCTGCCTTGAAGTCTGATTTATGACAGACCAAAGTTACAGGTTGCTATGAAATCCTAGTTTCAGCAGCAAATAACACTGACTTAACATAAATTTATCCACTCCTGCTCCGCTTGTGCAGAGACTGGATGGCCTCTAGTAAAGGGCCTCTACTCCATACTCCTTAAGCCATGCATGGAGAATGTTATGGATGGTAACCACTGCACCAGTCTCCAGTCCATGGGCTTCGTCCCCAATGTCGTATCCATCCCAAAGCCTTGCCACTGTGGGGCTGTTTGACCACCTTGGTGACTTCAGCCTGGGTGATAGATTAATCTAGCTGTACCCAGTCCCAGCACCTAGTCTCTTCTTCCGCCATCGAAGTCCTGTCAGCCGGATTCAGGAAATCCTCAAAAAATTTCTTCCATCATCCAATGATGTCCTCTTTCAAGGTCACCAGTTCCACACTCCCACTAATGCTTGATTTCAGCGATTGCCTCAAAAATTTGTGCAACAAAATATTAAGATGGTTACCCTTAACTCAATATTTTGTTGCACAACTTTTTGAAGCAATTAATACAATCAAAATGATTTATATAACTGTCAATAGCTGTATTTCCATTACAGATGTTCACAAATCTATTTTGATTTTGCTCAATTCAAATATGCAAAGTTTTGTAATTGTTATATTTCATTAAAAAACTGATACAATAACACATGAATACATTTGTTCAGGTATGTCCACATATCAGCCACTGCTCTAGTGGGCGCAATCATCCTCTGATCATTTCCAGTCTTCTTTGGTTTTAGACAAGTCATTATGGTCCAGCTGCAGATCATGTGACCACTTTCATAAGTGAAATGTGTTTCCATACCAGTCTTGTAAAATACAACAATTTTGATATGACTGAAAAACTACCCAATTACACAGTACAAACATTTTATCAAAAAGCATGAGGTTTTTCAAAATCTGGGGGTTTCAGTTTAGTGAATTTGTGAATTTTGGTGAACTTCAGAATATCCTTACGTTTTCTCCTAAGCCATTCTTGGATATATTTAGCTCTGTGTTTTGGGTCAGTATCCTGTTTTACGACCCACAATGACCTGCAAGTAGGACAGAGCCTTTTGGCTCTGGGCAGCATTGTACCCAAAGATACAAAACACTGTGTTCCACATGAAGCAAAGCATCCCATAAACAGAGCCTCCTCCATGTTTCACAGTAGGGACAGAGGTTTCTTTTCATTTATCATATTATATTATAGATCATACAGCTTATGTGCCTTGGCAAAAAGTTTTTTTGTCTTAAATGTTTGTCTCATCTATCTATTGGACATTTTTCCAGAAGCTTTTTGGTTTTGTCAGCATGTAGCTTGGCAAATGTATCATTTGTTTCAGCGTCTTGGTCGTTTTCCCTATTAATTCCACTTTGGCTCAAACAACAATAGATGATGAAATCTGACACAGACGTCCCTTGAGCTTGAAGCTCACCATTAATCTCTTTAGAAGTTGTTCTTGGCTCTGTTACTATTCATAATATCTGTCTTTTTGATTTGTCATCAAGTCTTCTCTTGCAGCCATATCCAAGGAGGTTGGCTACAGTCCCATTGATCTTAAATGTCTGAATAATATGTCCATCTGTAGGGACAAGAACATCAACCTGCTTGGAGATGGTGTTAAAGCCATTCAAATCTTGTCTATAAATTTTATTTCTGCACTCCTGAGAGAACTCTTACCCTCTCGACCTTTGTTCTTTGTTGACTGTGGTACACAACATGTCACCAAACAGTGACCACCTGTATCCCTACATAAAGGCCCACTGGCTGATAACAATATTTTAGACAGTTATTTTCACAGTTATGTCCCTTTTAGTCTTTTTTTCAGTTTAATACACTTCCCTTCCAATTGTGTTGTTTTTTTGTTTTTTGTTTTTGTTTAGCTGAGTTCTTACTTCCAAAAGAATGAAACAAAATAAAATAAATTAAATAACTGATACATCAGTATTTTTTCAAGGTTTAAAAATGTATCACCAAAGTCCTAAAGGTTTTAAAGCATAATACCTATATATATTTGTCTCTTGACATGTAGAAGATATATAATCCTGCAAGCCTTAAAATCGTCTATACACTAAAAACAGACAAACAAACGAGTCCTCTCATAATGTTGCAAGGGAAAGTTATTTTGTCTCATCCGTGTTGCATTAAAATAAGATCACATTGATTTAACAAATAAACTGGTATAACTGAGAATAACTAAAACTATAGAAAGAAAAAAATAACAGGCCTAATAACAGATCCATGAGGAACGCCACATGATAGGGGCCATTTGTACACAATGGGTCACCTTGCCAAAATGCAATTCTTTAGTACAATGATATGCTATGAGCTCCAAGACATTACCCTCACACAAATTCAATATGAGATGCATTTTCCTAAATATACTTGTAATGTTATATTCAATAACAATTGCAACTTATGCATTTATCTTCTGTATATAGGAAAACATAAACCTTCTAAATATAAGAAACAAACGTATATCTGAAAGTACTCCTAACCTTGTATTCCTCATACAGTCGTTCTAAAATTCTCTTGAAATTTATCTTAATCCCTTTTGAAGAAAAAAGAATAAAACAGAGCTCAGGAAGACCCTTTTCTAGCAAGGCTATGCATTACCGTTTCATTTTTGTGTATGCACGTTCATGTGGATGTAGCATTAGCAGACTTAGCAGTTAGCCAAATTTCGTATACCATAGTTTTTTGGTCCCTTACACAATAGGTGAAAATCAAGTTACCAAGGGCTGCAGGTGATTCCCTGATTGATGGACTCACCCCTTTAGTTGGAAAAGAAACGGAAGTGGTAATAGTAAGGCTGCCTATGGGTTTTACATGAGCATTTATATTCAAAGGGGATTAACCTATAAGAAATTATTCCTTTTGATGTATTTTAAATTTAATGAAACTTTTGTTTGCATAAATATAAGTCTTAACCATATATTTATACATTTGTCACACATATAAGTAATTTTGTGTTGTGAAAGATTACAACTATTGAAGCAAAGTGAAAAAAAGCCTCTTATGAAGATGCTTGTGCATGATGTTCATTACATGCACACCATTGTGTTTTGTTCACACTTTACTGTCTAAATCTCTTACTAGTGCATCTTAAAAAAATAGATGTCATTGGTCTGGCTGTCTTTTTTGCAGCCAACAGAGCACATGTTTGTTTTCTTAGGCCTCTCTCTGTAAGCATGTTGACTGCACATCAAACAATCTGCCTTCTTTTTTAAACCTTTGTGTGGTTAAAAAGTCACTTTGTTGAAGACCCTCTACATTCTGTGGTTTCCAACAGGAAATATCTGCAGTGGTATTTTTTTCCTTTTGAAATTCATGCACTGCAGCTACGCCTAAAGAGTAAAGCCCAAGATACTTCACATCACCTGCAAACCTGCTGTTGGTCAAGGCATGAAAATGGATTGGTCAATGAGCAGATGAAAATACCTGAGTTACGTTTAAGTATTCTGCAGTGTTCAAACATATCATGGTGGTGTGTTAAAAAATATAGACCTAAACAATAAAAAAGGATGCAATTATGTTTTTTTTTATTCACACCCAAACAAGTATGTTGAATTGACAATGATAGCACCAATAGTTCCATTAGTTCTGTACCACCTGAACAGCTGTAATCCATTGTAGTTGGTCAAATACGAATGAAGATATAATTAGTTTTATATATTTGATAATTAAGATATTCTGATCTGAACATAATATCGATTCAAAACCCTCTTCATCTAGCTGGCTGTTGTCGATTCATTGAATCTGGCTTTGGTTGTTATCCAGCACACAAAGTGCTCTTCTTTAAAAAATGTAAGATATTTTTAGACAAACTACTTTGTATTCAATTAGCATGTTATCTGAATGTTGAAATGATAGTCCCTTTTAAGATTTGGCATCAGATAGAAATGGTATCTCTTTATCTCCGGTTAGACCATAAGTGATGCAAATGGAAGAACATTGAGTTCCCCTCAAAAGTTACTCAGCATTTAGACAAAGGAGCAGAAATCAGTACAGAGGAACATCAGATCTCTGGTTGTGTACTTAGGCGTTACTTCTCTTCAGCCAATTGGAGTCCTCTCTGTAACTGACAGACTTCATAATGAGATTCATTTCGCTTTGTGGAGCATTGTGGATACCATGACACCACTAGAGTTTGCTTGGTTCCTGACTTTTCTCTTCCTAAAGACCTCAGGTAAGATTTTTTTAAAGATATTTTTACCCTCAAAGATATTTAAACCTTTTTAAAAGATCCAGATTTTTTCCGATAATGAACTAGATTTTTGTAAAATTTTCTCTTTCTACAGCTCAGGACCCTGACATGAGCACCTCCACCTTTATACGCCAGGAAAGGGCTTTTTATTCAGTCAATGTTGGCAGCAACGTTACTCTGCCCTGTTTCTACCTTAAAGGCGCAGTAATGATTTACTGGTTTAAACAAACTCTGGGCCAGAAACTAACTGCTATTGCTACTCTATATAAGCATAATGAAAATGGCAGCTTTCACAACGAGTACAAGAACAATCCTCGGTTTGTACTTGAAAGGGGTCAGGGTAAAAATCACCTTAAAATCTCTGATTTGCAAGCTTCAGACTCAACTATTTATTACTGCGTCGCTATAGATGCACATAAGTTTGAGTTTGGAGATGGAGCTACAGTCATAGTGGAAGGTTCTGGTTCTAAGGTCCACACGTTGGCCCATAAGAAAGTATCAGAAACCGACCAGACACTGGACTGTGTGGTGGACCCAGGAAGCTGCCATGGAGAGGGCAGTTTCTACTGGTTTAGAGACGCTAAAGAACATCAACCAGGAATCATTTACACTCAGTGTAACAGAACAAAAAGGACATCAACCTGTGACTACAGTCTGCCTCTGAATGTGTCTGATATCGGGACTCACCGCTGTGCCGTAGCCTCATGTGGACATATAATCTTTGAAGAAAAACAAAATAAGAAATCAACAGGTAAGAAATTTTCAGAAACAATTTATCTTAACATATACACAAAACATTAAATATGCAAATTTGACAAATTCTAGTAGTTTTGATTTCTTTCTTAATCAAAAACAGAATGCATAGAAATATGTAGAATTATAAGATAAGCAATGAAAACTGTAAAAAAATTTTTACAATTCTCAGGGTTATTGAACATGTCTAATGTTATAAAAGGTTTTTTAGAGCATTCAGGAATACTGTACAAATTATATAAAACTAGACAGAAATGAACACACAGTACAAACTACAATGACCAGGAGATGACAGCATGTAGGAACTTTTTAAATTAAGGATTTAGACTTTACACTTTAACACAGAGAGCATATAAATATAAAAAATGAGGGAGAGAATTCAGTTATGGAGTAAAGTAAAGAATACTGTAGTTCTGGTTAACCTTATTGCCATGCAATGTAATTTTAAATTCCATTCTGGTTTTCTGAGCTGCTGTAAAATTGGGGTGATGTGGCTGAAAGAGGTGGGTTTGGTAATAATGCAAACAACAGAAATTTTAATCTGTAAACGTTTATGGAGCGATTTGTTTTTAAGGGGGAACAAAGAAAGATTTGCAACAGTCACGGTAGAGGCGAGGCGTGGATAAGATTACAAGCAGAATGCAGGGAAGTAAGTGGCGTAGACGATTAACATCACATAGATGGAAAATAGTCAAGTATGTTTTAGATAAAATAAAACCTAAAAAGATGGAAAGCTTATTTCATTTACTGTGATACTTTAGAAGACAGATTATAGTTTGCTTATCTTCATTTACATTTTATTATACACCTCTGTTTATGAAAATGAGCCTAACTGACTTTTCAATCTAGACTGATAAGAAATAGATAAAAACTTGACAACATTTTGTCGCATCAACTGATCAATAAAATGTTCAGATTTCTCAAACAGCCAATCACCTTTCAGGACTCATTAACCCTTTAACACCAGGTGTAATATATGTATTGCAAGATTTTTTAAAAGCTCTACATCTTTGCAGGGATATAGTGTTTTTTTTTTTTCTAGGAAAATCGGATCTTGCCTGTATTCAATCACAAATGTAGTGAACAGAAAATGCAAAGTAAATTCAAATGCCTAACAAAACAAAACTCTTGTGTTTCAATTCATATCACGTTTTTAAACTTGTCAGAATGTTCATTGATGCCTCTATAACAAAAAATAAATAATTTTCTAAGTTTTTTTTTATGGTTCAGGTTTTTCAGGGTTAAGCATGAAAGTGGAGTGATTCTGGTGGCCATCAAAGGTTTTCTGATGTTATGATGTCTTGTGGTTTATAATTTCTACAGGTGAGCTGAACCCAGAACTTGTTGTACTGTGCTTAAGTGGAGCTCTGGCATTCATCCTCATCCTTAATGCTTCGATGGCCTTCTCAGTATTCAGGATAAGGAAAACAATCCAATCCCATTGTACAGGTAAATGTCCATTTTATGTCAAACCATTTAATAACACACTTCTTTCAGAATAAAAAAATCTATCTTCCACAGCAAACTCACATGTAGCACCAGCAGATCCTGACACAGTGTATTCAGAGGTAACTGTTATTCTTAACGTAAAAGTCAGTATAGAGCCTTAAACAAATTCATCGTTGATTATTAACTAATAATTGTTTCTGTATCAGGAATACCAAGATGAATATAGTGTCCAATATTCTGCTGTGAGACAACAACGATTTAATGGAGCAAGACGACAAAGAGATGATATAGAGGATAAATGTGTGTATGCAAGTGTAAAACAAGGCAAATCCCCGACTGAAAAACCCTCTACTGCAACGTAACAGCTGTAAGATAATATCTTGGACCATATATTTTTTGATCTAATGTAAAAATATTTAAATAAAAAGCTTAACCTTTGTTTATTTTTACATGTTTCGGAAGTCTAATGTATATTCTTTTAGTGCAGGACTTTCATTACACCTCTAGGAGAAAAAGACGAAAATACAAAATTATATTATTAGCAATTAGGGGAAGTTTCAAACTTAAAGGCTTTCTGATGAAGAATCTTTAACCAGATCAGTATGATTCATTTTAGGCTTGGTAAGTTATATATTGTAGATTCTTAAAGTGAAAAAAAAAAAATATATATTTTTTTTGTGTTATAAAAAAGTTTCTAGGATGCAGGGGTGAAGGAGTTATGCTCGAGGCTGTGGTCCTGACATTGCAGTTTCAGGTTCAAGTCCTGGCCTGTTAACCGTTGCTACATGTTTTTCCTATCTCTCTACTCATATTTCCTGTCTGCCTGCTTTTAGAATAAATGTAAAGGCTACTAGAGCTGAAAAAAATCTATGGTGTTCAATGACATGTTATATTTGAATGAGTCCCCTCTGTGCAGACTTCTTATTTGACTTCCAGTTTAAAAACCTCCATTGTCATCTCCAGTGGTCAAACAGGACAGACAGTCATGCATGGTAATTTAGAGGTATCCATTACAGCCAGACAGTTGTGTTTTTGTGACTGCAAGAAAAAAAAAACTGTGTGTCTGAGGAGAACTGTGATATGTTAAATTTGGTTATGTTGTGCAACTTCCATGTGTAGCCATGACACTGATGCACTGCTATTTGCATATTAAAATTTTTGTCTTCTGAGAAAAACATAATGCTGTGTGTGCTTTTGTGCAGAGAGGCTACCGGCTTGCTCTAATGTAAAGTATGACAAAAACGCACTTTAAAATATATGTATTTTGTTCCTAGTTACTCTGAAGTACATCTTGGTATATCTTTTTTTTTTTTTTGTGAGTGTGTATTAATTTTGACATCCTATTTCTTGTTAAGTCCCCCAATTTGTAAGGTTGCAAAACCTTCCCTCAAGCTAATAATTATATCTATACGTAGTTATATCTTCATGTTTATACTGGTGTGTTGTAAGTTGCTGCAGATATAAGCAGCTGAACATGCTTCTGTCTCCTTGAACCCCTGTCGGTCTCGGCAGATTGCCGCTCACACCAAGTCTGGTTCTGCTGGAGGTTTATTCCAGTTGAAAGGGAGTTTTTCCTGTCCAATGTCGCTACAAGCATGCCAAGTGTGAGGGATTGCCATCAAGTCAATGAGTCGATGCAATGAACTGGGATGCCTTGAGATGATATGTGTTGTGCGCTATAAATAAACTGAATAGAATTAGGATTTTACAGAACAACAGTCAGAATGTATACCAAACTCAAAGCATTTAAGTACAGTTTATTCTAAAATGTATTCCTCTTCTCTGTTCTCAAAAATCTATTTTGAGCCACAATAAGTTAGTTGAACTTTTGTTTTCTAAGTTGCTCAGACATAATTAAAGCTCTTAAAACAAATGTTTGTTTAACTTTGGGAAATTTTTTATTAGATGATTTTAAGCAGCACTTGTGTCTTGAAACTGTTTAAATTAAACAGCTGAGGGGCATTTCATAGAATTCACCAAACTACAAAAGTGTACATACCGGATTAACACTATAAGTCATTATCAAGTATTTAGGTCTGATGAAGTTATGTGTAAAGCTTCTATTATATAAAAAGATACAGTTCAAAAAGTAATAAAAAGTGGTTTTCTATTGACAACAATCCTAGATGGGTGCTAGCCTGATTAGCTGTTACCCATCTCTGTTCCACCAAAATCAATCAGGGACTCACTTGCAGAGAAGTTGGAAGAAGCAGCTATATTGTATAACCTTTTATCTATAGTATAAAAGACAAGAAAATGATGGTAAACCAAACATAAAATACTACTGTTGATTTAGCAGCCATAATAAAAGCAAGAATATTCCAGATGAAGTTATTTCATGCAAAATAGCAGTAGTAGTTTTCCTCTGTTTCCAGGTCGGTGTTTCCACATTGCTTCGTCTTGCCCTAGTCATTTTGGACCAATTGGAACAAACAAAAAAGCATAAAGTCGATGGACCAAACTACTTCTTTGGTGTTAATACCATCAAATAAAAATAAAAAATCCTTTAAGCGGTGTTGCTAAAATATCTGCAGATTTAATAAAATTAAAAATCTGTCTGACTAAGTCTTTGTACGGTTAGCTTGAGTAGGTTTTGTAGCAGTAATGATTCCAGAATATGCATAGTCCTGGCCTCGCTGAGCACTGAAGTTGTTGACAGTAACCCAGCTATACAGGTAGCTAAACACTCCCGCATTCATCTGCAAAGAAGCACACCGTAGTTTCTTTCAGCAGGTTTTAATGAGGTATGTGTGAAACTGAAATACACAAAATACAGCAAAATTACTGTAAAGACTGATTAGACTCCAAATTATAACATTCAAATGCAGACGATAAGCTTGATACTTACAGACGATGCTGTTCTGCGCTTAACTCAAAGAAAGAACAGAAAAAAGGCTTTTGATTGAACATATTTTAAGACTGACTTTTTACACTGACTGTGTAGTATTAACTTTCATTAGGTGACCTTGTTGAAAAACATATAAAACAAACTGATTCCATTATATGCATGACTAAGCCACATTGCAGATGTGTGTCCAAACGATGACAGCTCTGGTAAGGAAATATGTCTGCCATGTTACAGAAACATGCCTGTTGTTCTCAAGACTGCCCACTGTGCCGCATGGGTTTGTGTAAGCTGTAAACTGGGATGTTATAAATGAGGACTAGTTTTAAAGATTGTCTGGTGTACAAATTAATACCAGTTCCTCCACTTTCCTTCGCTGGCCCTATTAAACACCTGCTAAGCCTTTGCAAGGTGAATAATTTACATGTTCATTAGTGGACTTAAAATGAACGATATGATTGCCTTCAGGGTGATTCACTAAAAGTGTCATCAGTCAGTCTCACATCAATGGTACAGAAGTACTCATTCATAATTTCCCCAATTTCCTTGATGGGCCCTTGGCTGCTCTTTGGCTAGTCCTTGGCTAGTCCCCTACAATTCCATTTTAAACATCTAAAATATTCTGTCATGATTTGTGTACATTAAAATCTAAAGAGAAGTGTCATCTCCTGGTCAGACCCTGTAATTCAGTGAAAGGATGGACTAAAAAAAATAATGCACTCCCATGAGAAGGCCAGTCGCTGAAAGTTGGAGGGAATTTTGCTGCCATTTGGCTGGCTTTTGAGTGGGAAGGGCAATTCTGAATAGCTGCTACTGTAAATAGTAAAACTGACCTGTGTTGGTATTCCAATTAATCAAGTAAGAGGAGTCAAAAGTTTTTCACGCTACATTCACACAACAAGGGTGTGTCAAGTTGGGGCTGGAAGTTTGACAGGACCCAAATGCGGACACAAAAGCTTAAGGTGGTTACTATGGTTTAATAACAAAAGGGCAACAGAAGCAAAAATCCAAAAAACATAAATCTTCAAAATCTAAAAGAAATACTGAGAGCCAGGAATACTCACAAATAGGAGGCAAAGAAATAATGACAAACCAGCAAAGAGTGACTGAACAGGAGAATATATTAGAGAAAGAGACAAAGACCAGACTAATTAGCAGATTGGGAGCAGGTGTGAAGAGAGGCTAGAAGGGAACTAGGGAAAAGAAGACTGACACAAGAGGGCAAGCAACAAATACCTAGGAACTCAAATACAATCACAAATAACTGAACACAAAAATGGAAATAAGACCAATGAAAACTCAGAGATGAAACGTGAACAGGACCAAAACCATGACAGGGAGAGGAGCTACGCTGTTGCCACAGCTACGCTTGGGCAAGACTAATAGAAGTGAGTCTGCCGTACAATCAGAGCCATCCAGCCTAGGTTTTTTTCCCATCTCCAGATCACATCAAACTGTGAAGCGAGTTTTGAATATGACATATTCTATTTAGTAACCCCCACAAACATGATTTACATAAATGAACTGCTCTTCTCTGTGAAGGAGAGTTTGCTCAAACAGAGCACAGAGCAGCAGCATAATGGAGAGATTCCTGCTAATTTTCTGGATTCTATCAGGTATATTCGATTAATATTTGAGAGTATTTTACTTTTATCCGATACTGAACTGTACATTATCTGAAAGACTTATTTCTATGTACTTTTCTAGGCTGGCTCATTCTCTCACTATGCTTGGAACATCAGTACTACTTTGTAGAAAATAAGATGACTTGGTATCAGGCTCAGAGCTACTGTAGACAACACTACACGGACCTGGCCACTATCAGAAATTCTGAAGACATGAACCATTTCCTCGACGTTTTGTCTGCTCAATCCAGCTCTGACGTCTGGATTGGTCTGTACAGTGAAATCAATTGGATGTGGTCGAATGAGCTGGAAGAGCGCAACCCTGGGTACACAAACTGGGAGAGTACAGATAATGATCCAGACTTTATTTCTGCTAATCAGTTCTGTGTGTGCATGGGAGACAATGGCAGATGGTGGGACTACAACTGTGAGGCCAAGTTCCCCTTTGTTTGCTATACAGGTAACATTTCAGTGGTACGTAAAGTCGACTTTGAAATTAGGAATGATGACCAGACTGTCTAATTCTACTCTCCCCTAAATTACAGGGACACCAGGGGGATGTAAATTTGTAGTTATAAATGAAACAATGAGTTGGTCCGAAGCTCAGAGGTACTGTCGGGACAACTTCATAGATCTAGCCGACATTGGGAACAGCACAGACAATCAACAGGTTCAGCAATTAGTGCCAACCGGAAACTGGGCATGGACTGGTCTATACAGAGAGGAAAATATTTACTGGTCTGATCAGAGCAGCTTGTCGTTCACGAAGTGGGATCATATATCGAATCCGATCGGCTCAAGGGGGATAATTTGTGGCGCTACATCTGAAGCAAGATTGGCGAAATGGAGGTTTTTAGACTGTTACACCACACGGTCATTTGTGTGCTATCGGTTCAGAGGTAAGTGCTTCACCCTCCTGTTGTAAAACAAGCCTACTGTTGCTTCACATACTGAGACAGACAAATGCATCACTAACCTAGGAAGGAAATAATACTGATAATGCAAACAAATTTGTATTTTTCTTCATCTAGAGCAAGTGATGAGGAGAAGGGTGAAAATAAAAGTGAAGTCAGACAGCTCAGCAATTCTGACTGACCCCAATCTGCAAAACAAAATCCTCAGGAAGGCAAGTGTTTTCCCAAACATAGAAACTAAGTCATGCTTGAATACTAAAAAATAAATCCAAACAAATCTTTGCCTCCTAGCTCCAGGAGAAGCTACAAGAAAATGCACCTTTGAAGTTCGTTCAGCAGCCTGATGGTAAAATCTTCCACAAGGAGAAGGAAAAGAAAAGGACAGAACTCTAAAGTATGCACTGTGGATTTCCTTTCCTCTTTTGGACATTATTTAAGGTGACTCATTTGATATGTGGTTTTCTAATTTGCAGTACGTTTTTAAAAAAGGTTATAGATTCAGGGTAAGACTGACCTTCTAATGTGTCATTTTTTTCCAGTCAGTCACCTGTTGCATTTTGTATCATAATTTTAGGTCTTTTGAATCTTTTGATGTAGGTTTCTGTCTTATTATCTCTTACCGTTATTGTTAGCCTTATTCAGTTTTTTTTGTTTTTGTTGTATGGTGTGAAATTTGTTCCATTATTGTTGCAAGCAATGAACATTTGAATGACAGTTGGTAAATATAAAAAAAGGCAATTCAGAATGAAACTTTTAAAAGAAGTTCCAGAAAAGTAAAAAAAAAAAATACAATCCACTTGACTAGAGTTTCCAAGTTGAAGACGTTTCGCTTCCAATCCAGGGAGCTTTCTCAATTAAAAATTTCAGAAATAGCTTTGAGTTCAAAGCTTTTACAACAGCACAACAAAGCCTTGTTTTGGTTAAGAAAACATGCAAACTGAAACGGACAAACGGGTCCACTCCTTTTGAATGGGGGGTTGTTGAGTTCTTCTTTTAGCCTGCAATGCCCCATGCCGGTCTATGTCTCTCAAAGTGGGGTCATTAGAGGGAATTGTTAGCCTGGCTGAACAGGCGAGGTCCCCTGTTCCCCAGTAAGGGGTTGGGGCTGCGATGATAGCGGGAAGGAATCAACTCTATTGCTGCATCGTGGGTTTTTGAAAGCTGAAATCCGAGTCTACCCCCTCTGTTGGTTTTCTTTCTTAAAGGTTTACTATGCAACCAGTGTTGATTTTCCAGCGAGGCTCCCCCCAGAGGGCGAAAGTAAAAGTGCACTGTCGTAAATATGCTCAGCTGTTCTCCTGGTTTCTCCGTCAAATCAGACGCAGTTGTTTTGAGCTTAGCAGACAGGCGAACGCAACGAATCACCATGTCTACTGCGGTGACTATTTTGTTCCAATTTTCGAGTTTGAAAATTTAGCATGTTTTCATACATTATTTGATATGCATGTGTCTAAATACTTACAATCGCATCAGCAAAAACGCCAGGTCCGCGTCAGCCTTGCAGCCTTCTTTTTCTTTTAGCTCTCGCCATTCGGAAAAAGCTTGCCCGATGTTCACCCGTGTACGACTCCTCTCTCTGTCCAGAGCCCTTTTCCTCTTTCTTGCCTGCTCCGACATGGGCTTTCGCTGTTTTCTCGCTGGTTCCGCCATGATAACTGCACAAATATCGCCACTGCGCTAGCAACGAGCATGCCTTTCACTGGGGGCGAGTAGCAGTTCTCGTCGTAAAGCAAGACCGACTTTCGCGATGCACGAGACTTCTGAGCCTGTGGGTGCGGGCCGAGGGCTCCTGCAATTGCAAGTACGGTATTTCCCCTACAGACCACCAGGGCGGCCCAGAAAACCTTTTTTCAACCTGAAATTACTCATTTAATCATCCAAAACGTTATGGAACACATTAACTGAAAAATGTTGCATAGTATGCCTTTAACATAGATGGTATACTTCACTGCCCTCTCAAACCGCCTTTCTTCTTTTTCCAAACTGTGAATTTTGACTGTTTTTTTAAAGTTTGAATGACTATGACCTGGATGACAGAGAATCTTCACTGGCATTTTTAAAAAGAAGTGAAATCTAAAGGTTTTGAGAGTATTGTTTCTGTTTTCTTAGATTTTATTTAATATTTTTTTTTGCAGATTTTATATTTCTCACAGTTTAATTCAGAAAATGTTATTCTTTTTATATTTCGGATTTTTAAACACATTTTTTGTTTTTCAGATAGTTTTACAAATCACTTTCTTTTCAAACTACGTTTCCAAGTTTAAATTCTCTTCATTTCAAGCCCCGAAAAAACACTCGCTCTTGACCAATGAAAATACTGCTGCTAATGTCCATTCAGACCAATAGCATCTTCAAATCACAATTTGAAATTAATGCAATTAGCAAAACTGTCAGAAAAGCAAAAACTTTGTGGAAACAAACATTACTGTTTTTGATTAAAATGTTCAACAATTCTCTCCTGATTTGCATTTTATAATCAAATTTACACTTACAAAACCTTTTGATTGCAACAATATTGGAATAAAATAAATGCTTTATTTTTCTATTTCTGCCTAGGTTTTAATTTATAGTTTAATATTTTTGTTTAGTTTTGCTGATGATATTGCCTTCAGGTTTTGATCAGCTATTTGGATGTTGCCATATTGGTCCCCCTTTTATGGTCACATTAGTTGGGTCTTTTTCTTGCTCTCTGGTTTATTCTTTAGTCTTTTTTTCTCTGATTTATCTATTTATTTTCATGTCTGGTTTTATTTGTTAGGTCTTCCCAGCAGTTTTGCTCTGGTGATGTCTTTTCTATTTCCGTATAATCAGTTCAATCACATTTAGCTGCTGCCTTTTGTTGTTTTTTCATTGCAGATAATTATCCTAGTCAGTCACCTGTGTTTATTCATGTCCAAGCACTCTTATTCCTGTTTTCTTTCACCCTTCATGGGGGAATACTGGTTCTATGACTCGTTTCTCAATGATACTCATGCCATGCTAGTTTACCACATAAGTCTTGATGAAAAAAAAAACTTTTTTACAAGCTTTTTTAGTTATAAATACTTTTCAATTTTCCATTCAGCAACCAACTGCCTGTCAGCATATGTCCATCCAAGCTTTGTTTTTTGCCCTTCTCTCCATCATTAAACAAGGGATACCTCTACTGTAGATCTATATCTTTTTAGATGAAAAGTATCATACAATAAACAGAATTCAGTGACATAAAAAATATTTGTATTATATGCATTTATTATAGACAGAAGGATATTTAAGAACAGCACATTTTAATTCAGTCGCAAATAATAAAAATGATCTGGTTCTGAAACAGCTTGAAAGTTACAATTTTCTTTTTCTAATTTCTCAAGAGAAAAAAAAAACCCTTGGAGCTCATTCATCTGAGAGGGGCTCGGATTAGAGCCTCTTTAACTCCACATTGAGAGGAGACCGTTGAGGTGACTCGGACTACTTTGTCGAATGTCACCTGGATGATGCTGCCCGCAGGAGGTGTTCCAGGCACCAGCGGGAAGCAGGGTTGGGTGGCAAGCAGGACATGCTGGAAAGAATATGTCTCTCCGCTGGCATGTGAGCACCTCTAGCTTCCCTCACCAGAGAGGAAGTGTTTGGGTAGAGGGAGGTCTACAAGTCTCAGCTGAGACTATAGCCCCAGTGACCCCATCCTATATTCTAGCCAATATAATTACCTCCTTAGGTCTGAGTGTGTGTGTGAATGGTTGTTTTTCCTGTGTGTCTCTGTGTTGCCCTGCAATGGTAAGGCAAATTGTCCAGGGTGTACCCCACCCCTTACCCATTGAGAGCTGGATATAGGCACCAGCACCCCTCGCGAACCCAGCTGGGATGAGCTTGACGGAAAATGGATGGAGTGATAGATATTTACCTGCTATCCTGTTATATCCTAAATCTAAAAATCAAATATCTTCTCTTTATCCGATATAAATACTATTATGAACAATATCAAAAACTTTTTTTCTGTTCCTAATTTAATAAATTAATCTTGCTACTGTCCTTTTTACCAAATGATTTTAACAGTTTTTAACCTATCAATATATTCATTAAATAACTATCCATTCATTCTAAAAAAAATGTAAATTCCATCCATCCATCCATCCAGCCATTTTCTGACACGCTTAATCCCAAGTGGGGTGGCAAGGGGTGCTGGTGCCTATCTCCAGCTGTCTACGGGCGAGACATTTTAAATTATTTTGTTTTATTAAAACCTTAACTAATAGCCAAATGCTCCTGTTCTTTATCCATCTATAAACTTGTATCTATGTTTTCCCAACTTACTTCTCTGAGTCCCAATAACTTTTGATCTCTGGCTCAGTCTATAAAGTTAATGACATACATTATGAATATGGTCAGTTTCTCTGCTGTCGGAGTGAAGCTATCTTCTCTTTAACCTTGTTTTACTTTTGAACCAGATTCTGTGCTTGATTCATTTCTCCCATTCCTTGTCCTTAAACTCTCTTAGGTTATATTCCTTGTTTTAATGTGTTGCTTGTCATCTGCCTTCTTTCTCACCTCACATCTTCTATAGTCAACTCTGCGTTGGCCTCAATGGTCAACTCTGTGTTGGCCTCCACAGCCAACTCTGTGATGGCTTCCACAGTTGCAGCAACTTTCTCCATTTTCCTACTTGCACTGTTTGATTATGTGGTCTTCTTCGGATTGTTAACAACTTTGCTTTCCTCTACAAATTGCTGTCACATGTCTGTAGGATTGACACCTGTAGCAACTGAGTGGAGGTGGAATGAAAGGCCTGACTGGGAAATTCATCAAACATATTTTAACACAGAATAACTCCACTGTACTGTTAATGTGGACATAAAAAGTCAGAATAAAATGGCCTGTCAGACTAAATGTCAACATATTCCTCTATTTTTTTCTGTGATTTTTATCATGTTACCTTCATTATGAAAATATATTTCTAACTCATCTAAGCTGAACTTCCCTTAGGGAAATGTTTTATTTTGAGTTCAGTCATGCAAACAAAATTTCCTGGTAAGTGCTGGTAATAATATCCCTTGCAGCTCTTACATTTACATTTAGTAAATAATAGCGTTACAGTTTGCTTTGAAAACAAGGTTGTTGTTTTTTTTAAGTATAGTGGTTTTATGACAGACATACACTAGGAATAAATTCAGTTTCTCTACTGCTGGTGCGAAGCTTTCTTCTCTTTAAACTTTGTTTTACTGTTGAACCAGATTCTGTGCTTGACTCATTTCTCCTGTCCCTTGTCCTTAAACTCTCTTCACAGCTTCTGCATAGATTATATTCCTTGTTTTAATGTGTTGCATTTCGTCTGCCTTCTTTCTCACATCCTCTATAGTTAACTGTGTGCTGGCCTCTACAGTCAACTCTGCATTGGCCTCCAGAGTCAACCTGCCTTGGCC